GGCCGCCCCGGGACCCTCCGCGGGCGGCGGGGCTGGGAGCTCGGGGACCCCCGCCCCGCTGTCCCCCCTCGCCGGGGCTCTGTGTCCCTGCGCCCCTCCCCGAGTGCAGCCCCCCACGACGGGGCTCCCACGGGACTGTCCGAGGGAGGTGACGGTGCCTGGAGGGTGGTGGCACCTGTGGCCCCTCGGGGCCAGGCTCTGCCTGCGACAACGATTCCCGTCCTGGAGGTGGCAGAGGCACCCGGATGGGCTGGGCGCCCATTGCGCTTGATGCTGCCACATGGCAGGGTCCTTGGCACCCCAGAGGCGCCTCGGGGTCCTGGCTCCGCGCGGCCCTGCGGAGCCCGGTGTGCGGCGATGAGCAGCTCTCACCGCGCAGGAGCCCCGGGAGCACCTCAGCCATGGAGGCCATGGAGGGAGGACGCGGCCGGTCCCGTGCAGAGCCCCGGACACCCCTGTGTGCTCCGTCTGGGAGAACCGTGACTGGTTCTGTGAAACCTAAGGGAAGCGATTACAGATGCCGTGTTTTACCGGAGAGGTTTGTTCTGCTGGGTCACAGGGAGTTTGAGGAGGGGGATGCAGGGCTCTGGATGCCTCCCTGGATGTGGCTGCACCAGGCTCTGCCCTGTGCCCAGCACCAGATGTCCCACGGGTTTGGGGGGGTCCCCACAGCTGCTGCTGCCATCAGGAGCCACAGAAGTGTGTGGGAGAGGGAGGAGGAAGAGGAGGAGGGTGCAGAGGAAGGTGCCATGGGAGGGGAGCGACGAAGCCCCATGCTCTGCTCGCTTGTAAATGGACCCAGCTTAATATGCAAGTCACTGTCAGAGAGAAACAGCCTCGTGAAGATGCCATTTCCACACGGTCGCTCCTGTGACCATTATCCCACTTCAGACAAAAGCAATTTGCTCTGCGTGCAATAAAGCCGGGCCGATAACGAAGCTGGGAAGAGGTGTGACAGGCGGCAGGGCTGCGCGCAGCTCCCGGCCCTGTTGCAGTGTTGGCTGCAGACAACAACTATGGAGGAGATTCCCAATGGAGCCGGGAAGCCTGGAGAAGTGCCGGACTGTGTGTGGGAGCAATGGGCTGCATGGGGAGCCCCCAGCGAGCAGCCTTGCAGGCTGATGGTGACAAGCAGCGCAGGACAGAGGGGACAGCATCAACATCACTGCAACGCCGTGGCTGGGAGTTTGTGCGTGGGCTTTGGGTGGGAAGCGCCGCGTTAGTGCAGACGCCCACAGCCGTGACCCCCAGGGCTGCCGTGGGGCTGGTGGGGATGGGGACACAGACAGGGCGCTCCACGGCCGGTGCCGGCCACGGCGGAGGCTCCAGCAGCACCAGGGTGGTGCCAAGGGTCTCCCCGCTGCTGTCTTGGGGCCCCATAGCCCGTCTCAGAGACCCCATGCTGGCCCCAACACCCCAGCAAACCCTGCCGGCCGGAGCCGAGCCTGCCGGGCAGCACCACACGGACCCCCTTTGCTCCTGCGCTTTTCCTGACAAACACGTATTGCTTTATTCCACCGAAGTGAGAACGGAGCCGCCCTTCCCAGAGGAGCAGAGCGGAGCGGAGATAAATCCGCGCCTGTCTGCGCTGTGACAGGCGGTGATCGCGGTAATAGGGGGGGTGTTTCCCTGCCGCGGGGCTGAGGCAGCCGCGCGGCCCCGATTCCCGCGCAGGGCTGATCCGCTCGGCTGCCGGGAGGAGCAGTCGCGGTGCCGGCACGGGGAGGACACGAGGGGACACCCGGACACACGGGGGCCGATCCTGCCGCACGGACCTCCTAAGAGCCGCAGGCAGCCGAGGGCTCGTGGAAGATCCACATCTGGGAGCGCAGGGCACCGCAGCCACCCGCAAAGCCCCGGGAGCGCTTTGGACACCGACTGTTTCCCACCTCCCCCGCTTCGGTCACCTTTAAAGCTCCTTTTGTACCAAAGGCAACCCAGGTTAAGCGCTTGATACGTATGGAGGAAGGGTATGGGGTAAAGGCTGAACTGTAGCTCTGTCTTGCTTAGTATAAAGTCCCCAAGCTTGCAGCTTTCAAAAACAGCCAGGAATAAAGTCTGAACACAAATGGGAAGAAAGGGGGAAGCTGAATCAACTGGGCATGTGGGTGTTTGTAGAGGGGGGGGGGTCAGCTGCAGCCCCTTGTTCCCAACAACTGAGAAGGGTTTTGAATCTGGGATCCCCAACAGAGATGCACACAGCCGGTCACATACAAAAATCACACTTTATTGCACTGCTTTGCTCCTTTCTGAGTCGCTTCCAGCTTTACAATGAAGGCTGTGTCCTTTTGCCCCGCTAGCACGCGTCTCACACAGGTGCGTGTGGTAAAGCAGGTCCTGGCCACGGTTGGAGCAGCTGGGGAGCAACCGACATAAATGGAGCAGCTGCAGGAGGGCCCTAGAGCTTCATGACACCTTCCAGGTGAGCAGGGAGGCTGGTCCTTGCTCTGACGGAGCAGGGCACGGAGCAGCAGATCCTCTCCATGCACCGCGCTGCCCTGCACCCTTTCCATCGGCTGTGGCACCCATGTGCCCAGCCACCAACCCGCGCTGCTGAGCGCCCCTGCGTGCGCTGGGCACGTTGTGCTGGGTGCACACACGTTTCAGCAGGTTTTCCTTTGGTGATAAACACCTGAGAGGGCTGAGAAATACGCTTGAGAACAGCAGGCAACCTGGAAAAGCGGCCCTGTGGAGACCAGGATAAACAAAGCCCTTTCTGTAGTTTCACCAAGAGGTGACCAAACGTTGCGTGGAGGAAAAGAACGGGGGAGATGTTCTCCCATGCAGGAAGATGGAAGAGTTTGAGCTGGAACCTGAAGTCTGACATCCACAGGGGAGACAGGTAAATTCCTAACAAGGAGTTAACGAGGGAACAAGTCATCTGGGAACACAGTGGATTCTCAAATCATTTACAAGCTGTAAATCAAGGCTGGCAATTATTCCTAAGGAATCTGCTACAGCCTTGCTGTAAGAGGAGCAGGAAGCATAAGCCATTCATTTAGTCTCACCAGCTGGTCCTGGAGAACAGTAAATTGTTAAGGCCCAGCCTCAACATTTCCAATAGGACATCAGGTACTGCTGCTCTTGGTGGTGGTGAGGAATTTACCGAAAATACAACTTTTTGTTTGTTTTTTTTTTCATTCAGCTGCTATTGGGGGGCGTGGAGGGCGGATAGAGAAAATCATGTCCCCCAGAGAGAATTCTGTCCCTCAGAAGAGTAAAGGCTAGAAAATAACTTTGACCTCGAGTTTCCAGATAACCTCATGGCTATGAACAGGAGGCAGCACCCAGTCCCTGCTCACAGAGCCGGGGCCAGGCAGCAGCCACCTTCATCCCAGAAGGGAGCCAGGGCTGAAGGGAAATGGCCCAGCAGTCAGGTGTGGACACGCTACTGCTGGCAAGCGACTTCTTTGAATACTGCAGATACAGATGTGATCCCTGGATTTCCCCCCAGCACCACGTGCAGGAAGCGCATTGCTGGATTCCTCCAGGTCTCTATCCACCTCGTTCTCCAAGAAAAAAACCCCTGCCTGTGGAGAGGTGTTTCCTGTGTCCCACGTGGGCTCCCCTCCTTTTCCCCCGGGGAATGTCCCTTCTCCGTGTCCCGTTCGGCAGCCCCGCGGGCCGCAGGCTGCGGTGCGGGGGCTCGGAGGGGCCAGGGCAGCAGAGCTCGCTCAGGAGGAGCCACGTGCCGTCGGGGTCCACGCGCATCAGGTGCAGGAAAACGCTTTGGAAAGAACGGAAGGAGGAAGAGTCAGGAGAAGGTTTTGGTTTTGCACCCGAGAGGGTCATTAACAACCGCGTGTGGAAAGCTCTGACACTGTCTGAGGCCTTTGACAGCGGAGCAGATTTGGAGGCTCATTAGGCAGCCCTTAACACGGCTCCTGTGCCCCAGAGGAGGAGTCATTTTGTGTCTGCTGGAAAGTGGGAGAAAAACAGTTATTGCAGTATGGTACAAGGAACCAGCGAGCAGCCCGGCTCTGCGCTCGGCAAGGGGTGACACTCGACTCGAGAGGACAACGTCCTGCGGTGGGACCCGTGGTGGCTCGAGGGGTGATGGGGAGGTCCCTGCGCCACCGGGGGGGACCTGCAAGCACCCAGGGCTCAGGATGAAAGCACTGGCAGCTCAGAGCACTGGTGCCCGGGGCTGCCCAAAGCCGTGAGTGCTGCAGGGGCGGCCGCAGCTCCTGCGCAAGCCCTGGTGTTGGGCCGGTCTCTCCTGCAGGGATGCTGGAAGCGCCGCTGCGCTCTGCCCGCTCCCCTGCCTGGCTCTGGGGCCGCGTGTGCCGCCCGGCCAGGCCTCCCCCTTTGGAAGGGAAAGGGACAAGGTTTCTGCCTAGGCTAGGCTGCCGGGCAGCTCTGTGCCCATGCGAGAGCTCCTGCTCCCAAGTTGCTCCTCAGGCTGAGTTCTGGAGCTGCCTCGAGTGCCTTCCCTCTGCTAAGCGTCCTTCACAGAGAAGGAATTTTTTTTTTTTATAAACCTTCATTAAGAATAGAATGGAGGAAGAGAGATGTGACAACTTGCAGTAATGCTTTTTGCTGCTGTGCTGATGGCTTTCACTTTGCATTTCAATATGCCAGGTAAGATGGGGGATTTAGCTTTGGAGGAGGCTCTTCACACTTGTGCCTTCAATTGTGAGCTGCTGCAGACAGTCTTGCTGTGCAGGGGGAGCTTCCAGGAGCAAGCGGCTAATCTGCACGAGTTCTGCTGCTTGGTTCCCTTTGGCCAGGTCTCCTTGTCATAACCTTTGGGCTTGGCAAGGTTTGGGTCAGGGTTTCACACACACAGGCAGACTGGGATTAACTGGCTATTAAGTTCTCTGGCTATGACATGGATTTGATAAAAATCAAACTAGAACAAGACTCCCTGGCAGTGCTGAGAGGGCTCAGCCTGCGTGGTGCTGGGTGCTCTGGAGGGTGCTCAGCACCTACCAAAACAGCTCCCTGGGTGCCTGGCACCATCCCCGCAGGCACCTGGCCTCGCTTCCACTGCGGAGGAGATGCAGCTGGGGGGAGATTATATGAAAAGAAATCAGAGGGGAGACCTGCTTGTTCCCCTGCGAATTACAGGACACTCTTTTGTTTCCCTTTCAGACAGGAAAATCTAACAGCTGCTAAAAAAGCCACACAAAAACAGGCCTGACAGCTGTCAAAACCTCTGCTGAGCCTTTTACCCCGGAGCGAGCTTGTCTCCCCTCCAGAGCAGGCAGGAATCCTGTTTGGAAGCTCTTGTCTCTTCTTGTGTCCTGGGAGTGGAGGGCCCTGGGTAAGCTCAAAGGGAAGTGAGATGGAGGTCCCGGAATCTCCTTCACCTCTTCCTGATAACCTCACCGGGGTCTGACTCGTCGCCCACGAGCAGCCAAGGGGGCTGCCTTTGCCTGGCTGCTGGCAACCAGTTGCCCATCTCTCCCAGTGCAGGTGTCAACAGCCACAAGTGACGATGCTGCCACCGAGAGCCAGTGGCTGCTCCTGAGGGTGCCTGCGGCCTTATCCGTCATTTCCAGAGCAACACAATGTGAACAAGCTCCAAAACGACAACCGTGCTTGGGAATGACTGTTGGCATCAGTGCCGTCTCCTGGGAGGACAGCCAAAGCCAGGTGAATGTGCGGGGGTCCCTCCCCCCAGCTTCCCGTTCCTGCAGCTGCGCTGTCTGGAAAAGGGAGGCTGCTCCGGACTCAACGCCGGCCTCCGCGGGCTGCGGCCGGAGCCCAAGCGCGAGGGCTGCAAGGGCAGCGCCGGGGCCTCCCCGGTGATCGCCCCGAGCTCTGTGCCGGATCCCAGCCCGTTTCCCCTGGTTCCGATGGCTGCAGGGAGGAGCAGCCACGGAGACGCAGTCCCCGCTCTGCAGGGCTGCGCCTGACGGGAGCAGCCAGCGCAGGGAGCCCGGCCAAGAGAGATGAACTGCTGGGAAGTAAAAGGGGGGGAAAAAGGATGTTGTTCAGCCGGCTTGTGCCCAGTGCACCTACAGCCTTCCTTGTTACATCCGGAGCAAAGATATCCTGCTCTCCAGCCTCCTCCCTCCGGCCGCTCCAGACAGAGGGACCCTGCGGAGACCAGTCGGTACCTGCAGAACTCGGCTCCGGCTCGTGCCCGCGGCAGCCTAAGGCATGTGATTATCCCTGATAAGTTGCTGCACGGCACTCCGGGTTGACTTTTACATTTTCAAACTAACTCTTAGTTAGGTAGTTTCTAAGCAACCTGTTTCCATGGCAGAGAATCCTGGGGTTAATCCCGGTTTGCTTTCTGTTGTTGGTTTTTTTGCTTAAATATAATTTTATTGAATTTTGCCCGGTGCAAGTGGCTGTTCTAGTGTACTTCAGCCCAGCTTGCAAATGACAGCTGTCAATAAATATCCAATAAACTACAGAGTCAAACCAAAGGAGGTGTCTTTAATGCCGTATAATCAACTTCAGTATCTAAAGAGGTCCAAAAATAGCTCCTATTTGTTCCAGTTGTACTAAACAACTTGTTCTACTGGCACAAAGCGGAGTTAAGACTATTTTGTTGCTTTTTTTTTTTTTCCCAAGGTCTAAGCAAATCTAGAGCAAACAGGCACAATATGAACAGACCCACTGAAGGACAAGTGTTCCTGGCTTTTGCATCTCAGCTGAATGTTAACTAGACCCAACTGACCTCAGGCTTCACCGACGACTTAGGAAAAAATATTTCTGCATTCTGGAGGAAAAAAATAATCTATATCCAGGATGTCAACCAAAAGGTCAAACGGTAAACTTCATGAGCTGCAAAGGCTTACTCAGAGAATTAAGTGCGTTTGTTTCAAAACAGTCACCTTTAACTGAAAAAAATGCTGAACTGTTCTTTCTAAAGTGGTGAGGTGTGCCAATAGCAGTTTCCTCATCTCTTTTCCTTCATTTTTATTTTGAAAGGGAGAAGCCTGTGAGGGGTGATGCAAATTGATTAAATTGATCAGAATCTCAGGTTTTATGTACTGTGACTTGCAGTTACAACTTCTTCCCCTCTGCCTTGTTGCCTTTTCTTATCTCTCCTGCAAAACTCCTCAGCTGTTCCAGTGCCCTGGCCACACAACCACAGCTGCACTGGCTTACTTTCAATGAAAGCAAAGATGTAACTCGTGTTTCCTAGCTTTCCCAAGCTGTTCTTCAGTGTGTGCATGTAAATTTTGGCTTATTTTCACAAGCTTTGAATAATATTTCCTCTCCTGGACTATTACCAGCAGTCACCAGGAGCTCAGTTTTGCCCAGCACCTATATCTGCCCATTGAGTACTGCGCTATGCTGCATGTACCACATTCACTCCCTCTGGTTCATCTAATAAAACTAGAGGTCCCACAAAGGGGATTAAACAGCCTCCCTCCAGCACGCTAACATCTCTGGAAGATGGACAACCCTTCTTACTTATTTATTTTTTCCCTTTTCTGTTCTTCCTTTAAGCTCCAGCACATTGCCAGAAGCTCCTGCTTAGCCCTTTATGTGGCTACAGAATCAGACTCAGCGAGTTGGAGATGCAACGGGCTTCGTAAGAGCTGACCTTGCTCCTGGCAGGTCACAACTCATGGATTCAATTAGAATCCACTAAGGTGAGCCATAGCAACTACTTTTTGTTGGAAAACATCAGTTAGGATAAATCAAAATGGCAAGCTGACTCTTTGTATGACTTCTGCAATGCTAATGCTGGGTTGTCAAGTGACTTAGCCCGAGTGCCAATGTAAGATTATTTCTGTTATATCTGTTTTTAGCAGCAATTTAAAATGCAGAACTTTTCATGCAGCAGGCTGATAACTTTACCCTTGCTTAGATACAAAGGGCCTTCCGTATGACAGTTTGAGTTAAGCTTGCAGAATTATGTTCAGGCACATGGACAGCAAAGAAAAGAAACGGGGCTTACAGGCATCTGATGCTTGAACAGCTTTAGAAAGGAAGCTAAGATGGCTGAGAAGTGATTCTTATCATGCAACTGTAGCTGATTGTTATGGTACACACTAATTTTGACTGGTGCAATTTGAAGCTGCTTATTATACATACTGTAGCTAAAAGGCAAAAGTACTGCCATGTATGTGTGGCTGGTATCAGGCCAGACATGATGCATTCCTTGATGAACATACGTGTCCGAGCAAGAGAACTACCCCGGAGAGCTGTTTGCAGGAGATTCTGCTTTGTTCAGTGAAGTAGGTAACGTGTGGTGCATTGAAGACGTGGGGGTGGCAGCGTGGCATGTGGTACTTTTCATGTAAAATCAAAATACCCCATGGAAGACACTACTCCTGCCTTGAACTTCGCTCCCCCTTTTCTCCAACCACAGCAAGCTTGCTTGACAATACAGCTTCAAATGACTCTGTCGCACCATAAAGCTAATTCAGTGTTTCTCCCACTGCTGTTAAATTACACAGCTTTTTAGACTACTGTGTTGTGATTTAAAAGCTTAAGATCCCAAAAATCTAGATGAATGCTGGAGTTCTGCTTTGCATGCAGAGAGGGAAGCTATATTGTGTTAAGGATATACAATCCTTCAGCTAAGAAACCCTTTGCAGAAAGAATGCCGCTGGAGCCTGCTGCGATGCAATGAAAGCCACGAAGGTAAAAATAAACCTATTCTCAGCAGCTCGGGAGAACAAGCAGCAAGGGAGGGCTGCAGCTCCCGAGAGCTCCCTCGTGA